TTTTTTTTTTTTTTTAATCGTTTGACGTTTCGTTGCAGATTCTGGCTCGAGCATACTCGGCGGCGGGATTCGGGAGAACACTATACCAGAGGCGCTGTACGCCACCATCCCAGACACGCCGAACGCGAGCGCCAACGAAACCGGAAATAGTCAATTAAACGCGCAAAGTAGATCGCAACCCGTTTACGCCATTCCTTCTATGGTGTCGCCGCCGCCCACCTATGACGTGGCGATTTCGAAAACGTGGCAGGTAAGTGATTATTATCAGTCGCCTCCCCCGGTAGAAAATGGATTTTCTCTAACACAGGAAACACGACCAACCTGATTACCCCTTCCCCGCCCCCCTTTTTTTTCTAACGATTAACAGCTGTTTCCTTTTTGAACGCAAAACGTCGTTCCTCTTTTTTTTCTTTTCGCAGCTACTCTGATGAATGAATCTGTATCGGGAAATTTTGGAAATTACACGTTAGAATTCATGCGTGGAACAGGTGAAATTAAACTCGGCCCGACTGATATATATATATATATCTTTCTTTTGTTCCTTGCGTTTCGACCGAAAATAATTTTTCATCGAGATAATATAAGAGAGAGAGTGCATTTACAAATCACGATCGTGGTTTAATGAACGTTTTGATTTTATAAAATTCAACGTTTGAAGTTATCGGGCGAACGATTTTGGATGCCGGACAGAGAGACAGAGAGAGAGAGAGAGAGAAAATTTACGCGCGTGAGCATTGATAATTAGAAAAGGCGTGCACGCGAGTTGGTTAATTGAATTTATTTAATTGAATTAAATTAATTGCGAGGTGCAGAAATTTAGAAAACTGGTGACAAAAGTTTTGGGCCGGGAGTATAGTTTAATATACAATCATCGTCGTCTTATTTGAATCCTTCGTCTGCAACTATAGCACATATATATTATACATACGATGATTGTTAAATTACTCGATTTATTCGATACGATTTAATAATGGTTGTTAAACATTCAGTCGCCAGCAACGAATATCACCGCTGTGACCCTTTGCCACTCGAACCATCCGAAATTACATGGTGCATTGTTGTCGAAGCTTCATTGTTAGGCAAATAAATCATTCATTTCTCATATAAAATATCGGATAAACCTTCGTTAATCAAATTCCAAACAACAAAACAATGCTCAGTTTATTTACTTTCGCGTGTCCATTGTCTCGGGAGATTCAGATCCGCGGTCCTCGAGGTATCGCGTATTATATTTCAATTTTCGTCGAAAGTTCTTCGCGAATGATCGAAATTCGTCAATCGACGACACGACTGTGTTCACTTGCAACGTGGTTCAAACGCAACGATGAGGATTTAACTGCTTTAACGCGTTCTAGTCAGACAACGGACACGACCGCAAAGTAGCAAAGCTCGCTGCTGGCCAGACACGGATGGATCGGCAATCGACCGCTCGATCCCTTTGTAAACGAATTGACGTCCTGCTAAGTACGCGTTCGAGCTGCTAATTAGGGCAGACACAGAGAAAATTTCATTTTCTTCGTGAAATTAAGGGAATTTCAGCGTGTCGTTTAATCGACGATCAACGAAAATTCAAGAAAACCAGGCCAGCGTACAGTTCGGGAATTAAAACAACCGCAGAACCAGGTGCAATCCATAAAATCGATGCTTCGGCTACCTCGAAGCCGCTCTAATTCCTCGATGATTGCAGCTGAATATATATATATATATATATATATATATATTTTTTTTAAAATAATCTCTCGATTCGTCCGGCCTTCGCAATCATTCATCAGCATTAAAAGAAAAGAAAGAAAGAAATTCGGAGGTAAAACGAGCCGGTTGATTTACCGTAGGATTCAAGAACGAAACTTCGAGGAACGAATCGGAAAAGCACGGATTTGAATCTCGCTCGGGGGGGTGGTGTGTCTCGTCGGTGCGCGAGTAATCCAGCGACGGGATGAAATTAATGCTTGAATATTCAAAACGCCTGATCCACTCTGCTGACTCGAGTCTTGTTTACTGAATATTCGATTATTCGAATAATCAGCCGTCTCGGCCCGTTTTCACCGAGAACGAAGTTGGACTCCGAGGCGACTCCACGAACGCTCGAAATTCCCGTAACGATCGGTAGGCTACATTCTTTCTTTAACACTGGAACTGCCAAATCTTTTAATTTTTTTCTTGACATTTTAAAGATTTAAATAATCAGGGTACCCATAAGTAATGTCGTTTTTTTTTTTTTTTTTAAATTTAATAAACATTGCCATCCAGTGACGATAATTTAAATGAAATAAAATTTTCCACAGTATCGAGAAACGATATACTCAAATATACACATAAGAGATTGTATACTTTCTATTGTATTATAAAGTTTCTCTACTTTTTTGGACTTTTCGATGTATGGTTTTATGGTTTAATCGTCGGTGGTTTTAGTGTGTAAGGTAGCAGGAAGAAGGGGGCAACAACAGGCAAATCTTTCGAGCTGCTCCTCGAACTATTCAGCTTTCTGGCCAGCCATTTCGACCGCATAGTTCCGCGGCGCCGGGCGACACATAAATTTTCGTGCCACGTCGCGAAAAACACCGCCACCTTCGATGGCGACCCACTTGAAAGTACCGATAACGATGCCAGGACACTTCGAGTTCTCCCGAGCCGTCCTTAGTTGCCATTTTATCGACCGATTCGGCTTCCTTCGCTGGTTGCATAATTCGTCTCTCTCTCTCTCTCTGTCTCTTTGTTTCGCATCCTCCGAATTAATCGAATTCTTGGATTTGCAATTTTTACGAGCAGTTTGGAACAAGACTGCATTTCGAATTAACTTCGTTGAATCTATGTGATGACCTAATCTAACTAACTTATGTGACCATCAATGTTGTCAATATTATTAAATATATGGAATATTGTATGATTTTTAATAATTCATTCCATGATTTCTGGAAAGTGAAGTGGAATTAAGACTTCGTTGGATTTATGTAACCTTATGTCGTCGGTGTTACCAATATTATTAAATACATGCAATATTATTACATGTACAATATTATTCAATCAATAATTCTGTCAATAATATCGGTCTATGATTTTTGAGAAGTGATATCTGAATTAACTACGTTGATCTATGTAACCTAACCTAAATCTTACGCTGGATTTATGTAACCTTATGTCGTCGGTGTTACCAATATTATTAAATACATGCAATATTATTACATGTACAATATTATTCAATCAATAATTCTGTCAATAATATCGGTCTATGATTTTTGAGAAGTGATATCTGAATTAACTACGTTGATCTATGTAACCTAACCTAAATCTTACGTCGTCAACGTTATCAATATTAAATGAAAAGCTATCAGACTTTTCTTACGAATCGACAAGTTATTTTTCAATATTATTTATACGAAGAGATAAGGAACAAAGCAGTATGTAAAACTATGGGGCCACGTCGTGGCTCGTGAAAATGGAAATTGAATTCAAGATGGCAGAGTGGTTAAATACGTCAATGAGCAACATTCTTGCATCTCGAGCAACTGCATCCGTGTTCGTCATTCCCTTTCCGTTGAACGGCAAATTGACGAGGGAAATTAACATTCGCGCAAAATGAATTGCAAATTAATTCCGTACTTTCGAGCGTAGGATTCTAGGGTGCCAACTCGGTTGTACGAGTTTCTTGTTAACTCTTTGAAGTTTCTTCTGCAAAGTTCAATACTAGAATTCTCGGTATGAAGCGGGACACTTTTGTTTACTTGCTACGAAATAAAATAATAACAATTCCACGTCGAACACCTTCGAACGGTTTCCTCACCCCCCCCCCCTCCCACCCATGGAAACCCATTAGTTTTGTCACTCGTTATTTCAAATAACAAAGCTGCGTGTCACCATTGTCGATGGTTGTAATTACAGCTCGACTATATTTCAGTGGAATCTGCCAGCCTCTCTCGGCTTTTAACTCCTCACGACAGAGATTTAGCCAATTACACGGAAACAATACGAATAATTAATGACAAACTCTCTCTCTCTCTCTCTCTCTCTCGTTGCTACATCATTAACGAATATAATCCCCCTTCGACAATCGCCGTAGGATTACAACGAGACAAAGTCTGGAATCGAAATCATAATGAATTCGAATGGCGTTTAAGCTCCTGTATTGCTCGTCAAGCATCCCGTTCTTTTTCAAATAAATTAGAAGCTCGCGACGATCGTTCATTATAGTGTTTGTAAAAATATTCCACGTCTCCAACGGTCCGCGAAGTTCTGCTCTGGAAAGAAATCGGTGAGACGAATCGACGTTACAAACATTCAAAAGACAAATACATTCGCTATCTACCAAATCGTAAAGGAAAATCGGCAAAGGAACCGAGGAGAGGTGTGGGATAAGAAGAAATTGACGGAGGTTTCGATGTTTTCAGACCGGTTTGCCACCCACCTACGAGGAATACCTGTGTCACAAGTACGCCATGATATCGCGATCGCACACGCCGCCTCCGCCGTGGTCAGACTCGACGACGACGACGACGACGACGACAACGACGCCGAACGTTCACGTGCGTCGCGAGCTGCTGGCCAGCCAGCCAGAGCTCAGGGAGTATCTGGCGCAGTTGTCGCTTTCTCAGAACAACGAGAGGTCGATCGGTCATCACCACCATCATCAAGGGGCCGTTCTCAGAGACAGTAGCTACCTATCGAACCAGCAGATCTCGAGGGAGCAAGTGAGGACGCAACAACGCGCGCGAGCTATGCCTCCCAGGTGAGTTTTCCAAACGTTTGTGCCGGTCGGGAAGGAAGTCGCGACGAAATAATTCAGACGCTCGTTCCGTGGACGACCACGTGTCTCACGATACCCTTGGGCATCGTACCACGTGAATTTGATTCGAAGTACAAATCCCTCCAAGTCAACGCGAATCGAATTTCCCTCGGTTCACGCGTGACTCCGTGACGTCAACGAAAATTCGGGAACATGATTTTTCTTCTTTTCTCTTTTCTTCATGGAAGAAAGAGCACGATGATGATTTTTGTATATGGAGATGAGCTTGATGTTCAAATTGAAATATATAAAGATTTGTTCGTTAACACGTCCCGTGTTAAGGCATTTTTGCCTTTTGTTGTCGTTCAGGCCATTTGATATTTTGACTAAAGGGTTGATATCTGCCTTTTGTTGTCGTTCAGGCCATTTGATATTTTGACTAAAGGTTCATATTACATCATCAATCGATAAGTAGTTCTCTTGTTTAGAGTAGCTATCACATCGTTAAATACATCATCAATCGATAAGTAGTTCTCTTGTTTAGAGTAGCTATCACATCGTAGTAATATTATTAGAAATACATGCTGGTACACGTGGCCTCTGAAGATCAAGTTTAACGTGTACCACTGGTGGTACATATGGCACGGAACGTGTTATATTATATTATATATATATATATTAGAATTCTCTCTTTTATCTGTTTCTTTCTTTCTTTCTTTTTAATGATAATAAAATGATGTAAAAATAC